TGCGCCGCCTGGGCCTGAGGCTCGCACCGCAGCCCGGGTTCTAGTGGGAGCCCCGGAGTCCCCCTGAGGCTGGGTACCCTGGTCGCTTGTTAGGAAGAAGGGCGCCGCTAGGGGAAGGCACGCTGCGAACAGAGGGCTCTTCTGGCCTGGGTGTCAGGCGGCAGCGGCTCTGGGAGCGCTCGCCACGTTGTCGCAGGGCCTCGCCAGGCGCTGTCGGGCCTCCTGTCAATGTGTGGTTTTCCACGCCACCGCTCCCTCCAGACTGAAGGTGGGAGGAGGAAAAGGCCAACCAGCCGCTTGCAGCAGGCTTCCCTTTTTAAACGAAATGCTCAACCTCTGAGCGTTTTGCTGAGATCCTTGAAGAGCAGCCCCAGGGCCCGGGTGGGGCAGGATCCGGCCCGGAAGGGTAGGCTCCTGCCCAGCCGCCCCCGTCTCCTGCGGTTGGTCTCCAAGCCAGACGGGGTCCGGAGCCTCCGAGCACGCGTGACGATAACAAACTTAACCGGGGATGAGAAATGTACCAAATGGAGCCTGTGACTGAACCTTAACTGTCGGGCATTGACCGATTCTGTGGATCTAACGCAGAGATTTATTTTCCTTTCGAAGTTTAGGGTTTTACTCCTTTCCCAATGGGCAGGTTAGGAAGGAGGTTCACCTATTCTAGTGACAGGCTTTCTGGTGAACACTGAAGAAGAGCCATTAATGCCTGTACACCCAAGATGAACAACGCAGTCTTTATCCTTCTAATTCCTTGTCTAGTGGGCAGGGCCAACAGTTATTTTCTTACAACTTTATCTCAGCTTTGACTTATTACATTTATACCAATTGTTCTCGTACGAGAGAATTGGAAGTCATTGCTGGCGGGAATTATTGCGAACTGGAGTTAAGGGAGCGTGAATCAGTTATGATTTCCCCCCAGCATAGTTACCGTCTGCTTGCAACAGACATTTCCTCACTGCCCACCCACCCCCAACACACCACTCCCCTCTCACTGCAGTTAACCTTTCCCTGAGCTTCCCTGTGGTACTAGAGAACTTCAAAAAGTTCCTGGAAAAATAAAATTAAAAGATAATGCGAATCTTTTCATAAACTTTTTGAGACACCTTCGTATTTCTACTGGGAAAATTAATAAGCCACCTGTTCTCCAAATACAAATCCCTGAAATTCAACTAAAAAACAATTGTAACAAATACCCCCACTGGCTCATTATCTTATAAATATATATTTATATTTTATTTATAATATTTTTTAAACTATAGATACTAAGCAGTTTATTTTTATAACATTCTGTGTTAGAGTTTGGTTAAATTGACCCCAAAAGAATGTCCATCAAAAGAAGAGATAGGTGCAGTTATTTTTGATGTGAATAACTGTTTTCCAAGCAATCTTAGACACTTGAGGACTAAGGACAAAAGTTGGTGTACATGAATGGAATGAACTCAAGACAGAAAATTATAATTAAGACATTACATACAACTAAATAAAATACATAGACAATTGTGTGCTGTAACCAAAAATATATCAGCAAAACTGTTTTCATTCAGTTTTTGATTTCTCAGTGTTAGGAAGTTGGCACATACTAACCAAACCTACATTAAATGGGTTTTTATACTAGAATACCATATGAGTTGATGTATATATGTGTATATACATGTATATTTATATATTCATATATATATATACATATACAGCAGGTAATATCTGTCAGGGAATTTGCTATTGAAAGTTAACTTCGGCCAGCCCGGTGGCGCACTGGAGAGTGCGCCGCTTGAGAGCGCGGTGGCGCTCCCACCGAGGGTTCGGATCCCATGTGGAGACCGGTTCCTGCTCACTGGCTGAGCGCGGTGCGGGCGCAACACCGAGGGTTGCGATCCCATTACCGGTCAGTAAAAAAGAGACAAAAAGGAAAAAAAAAAAAAGAAAGTTAACTTCACTCAGACTTAGAGGACCAAATTACAACAGAAGTTTACATAGTAAGCTTGTGACTATTACAAAGGGAAATAGTGGTTCTTATGGGCTATTTCCATCAACCTGGTAAAGTTGAGTACATTAACTGACCTTTTTCACTTTGCATCTGTAATTAGAAGCAATAATTAAGAAAATTCTCACTTGTTGATTTTTCCCTTTTCTAGCAGTCTATAGTCTATCACCGTATCATGCAGTTGCATAGGTCATAGATTCCTTTTGCTTTATTTACATTCAAGTCCTGTTTTTGACCAGAGGTCTTCATTGGATTTAGGAAATTCTTTGACCTGAATATCCATTCTCATTTTTTTAAGAACCTAAAAAAGAGTTTTCTGCTAGTAAACATATTTTCATTGTGCCTGCCAAAAGAGATACATATTTTATAAAGCTCTTTTAAATGCATGATGTTATATACATTAACTAAAATGGTATATTGGCTAAATAAGGGAAAACTTGTAAATTTATGAGAATCCTGATTGTAGTTATTGGGTTAAGGAATTTTATTAAGACCACAGTGCCTTTTTAGGAGCAACTTCTCATGAAAAAGTGGCTAAAGGTGAATCTCTGCTAGGAAACAATAGCTATATGTTCAGCATATTTAAGAGTACTTATCTTTATTGACATCTCTACCTAAATACATGTCTGGAGAGTTGACAAGAGAAGGAAGTAGAGATATAGATTATGAGTCTATTGAGTGTCCCTTGTTTCCAGACTCAGATTTGGTTGTAATATAATATGATAAATACTACCTTCCCCCAAATATTTAAATTTGCCTTATCTTTTTTCAGGTGTGCTCATCTTTTGCCACAGGCCCCAGACAATACGATGGAACATTCTATGAATTTCGTACCTATTGTCTTAAACCTTCAAAGATGAATGAGTTCCTGGAAAATGTTAAGAAAAACATTTATCTTCGGACAGCTCACTCTGAATTGGTTGGATGTTGGAGTGTAGAATTTGGAGGCAGACTGAATAAAGTGTTTCATATTTGGAAGTATGGTATGAGTCATCTAGCTTACACGTTGAGTACAGTTTTCATTCTGTTAGATGTAACAAACTTAGCTCTTGAATCTATATTACTGTAAATACACACAGGTTAAGTAAAACTTTAAAAAGCAAAACCTAAATAAATTCAGTGATTACTCTTCCCAGTAGTACACCTCTAATACTCACTTGCTCGAATTCTTATGTTTTCATAAATGAGAACATGTGGAGTCTCACATTTCAAATCTTAAAATTATGAACTAGACTTTAATTCTCAGAAAAATTTTAGAATGGTTTATTATAAAGATGATTTATGAAAAATTTAAAGCAGTGATTGGAGAAACTCAGGTGGGTGAACGTCACAAAAGGAAGAGAGAAGTATCTTTTCTTATTATTAAAGCTGGAGCTGGATATCAGCATTTTAACAGAAATAATTCAAACATTTAGAGACTTTATGAAAATGGATGTTGATAGGGAGTGATAGTTAGCTTTTAAGTCTCACCGAACTCTGAGATTTAATTAATTCTATAATGTTTAGAGACCACTTTTGTTTTATTTCTGCACCTCAGAGTTTCAAGGAATTCACTACTAGTAGTTGTAGCTGCTCTAAGGAGTTAAAGGAAAAGAATCAGTGATAGTTCTTGACATATTGAAGCTGACCCACCCCTGGTTTACTAGAGGAAGGAGAACAAGTAAGAATCCCCAGAGTTTTTGTTACTCCAGTGTCTATTCTTACCAGTCCAAATCAGGACTTAATGATATCCAAAGAACTTTTAACAATTTCATTTAGTGTTTAGTGACCAGTGTCCAAAGTGAATAGTCATAAATAATTTTGAGTAAAGTAATATGAAAAGTGTTCATTCTATACTTACCATTCTATACTTCTTTAGGGTTTTTTCCCTGTTATAATAAAATAAGCCCCATTAAAACGTAGTTGTGCTTTATACATACCACAAGTTGAGTCATGTCTTATTAGAAAAACTGCTAATAAAGTCCTTATAAGTTTCTAGATAGGTGTTCTTCCTTCTCCCCAGTATAAATCATGTAAAATTCTTTTACCACTAGCCTTAGGGCCTAAAAATAAATATTGCACTATGCCTGTACATTGGTAATCGTATGTATATATCCGTTTGGGTAACTTAGAAGAGACATAAGTGCTGAGTAAAAAGAATGGTGGACAATATGTTACATTTGGTTTGAGATGTACCTTGACCTGATCACCCACCTCTACGATCACCAAAGAAAACTAGTCTTTCTCTAAACCAGCACTATACGTTAAGTGCCTCAATTAATTGATAAGAATAGTTAACGTATACATATTGAGTAGTAACTAAGGTGTCAAACACTGTTCTAATCTCTTTTCATGCATTAATTCATTTAATCCTCACAACATCCCTAGAAGGAGATGTTATGTTATCCCCATTTCACAGAGTAAGAAACTGAGGCACAGAAAGATTCAATAACTTACCTCATAATTCATACAACTTCCTGCTAAAGTGGTAGATCCTATAAAGCCCACCATATGACATTACAGTTTGTTCTTTACATTTCTACTCCCGTTTTAGACCATGAATAACTTGAGAACAGTTATATCTATGTATACTGGCATCTCCAATGACATAACACAGGGATCCTATATGGCATGTGGTAGATCCTATAAAGCCCACCATATGACATTACAGTTTGTTCTTTACATTTCTACTCCCATTTTAGACCATGAATAACTTGAGAACAGTTATATCTATGTATACTGGCATCTCCAATGACATAACACAGGGATCCTATATGGCACTGGTGAATGTTTGCTGAATTGAATGAAATCTAAGTAAAAATATAGTTGATTTTAAATCAAAAATTTTTATTTTTCTTAATTTTTTTCTTCCCACAGATAATTTTGCTCATCGAAGTGAAGTTCGGAAAGCCTTAGCCAAAAATAAGGAATGGCAAGAACAAACTCTTATTCCAAATTTGGCTCTCATTGATAAACAGGAGAGTGAGATTACATATCTTGTACCATGGTGCAAATTAGAAAAACCTCCAAAAGAAGGTAAGTCCTTCCTAGTCACTTTGAGCTTTAATGAGTAAAATATTAAAGATCAAAAGCTATAAAGACCAAAGTTCCATGGGGAAAAAAATAAAATTAATTCTTTGTTTTATATATGAATATATGTCGAGTATGGAGATAAAAATGAATTTGAGATCTCTGCTTATCCTTAAAACAATGGGCATTTCCAAATTGAGATTTTACTCTTGAAGTTTAGTTGTATTATATAAAAAGTTGACATGGCCAGTAAATGTGGAGAAGTGGGGATTGGGAGAAAGGAAAACAGGAATAGGTAAGTAAGGGGTTGTTTATGAAATTTTGTCAGAGTTTTAAAATAATGTAAACTTTTAAATATAAAAGTATTTTTTTCACACTTTCAGCTAATCTTAAATCATTAAGTATATCTTTGCTTGTAGCCTTTTTGGAGGGAATGAATTAACTTATACTGTTCAGCTGTATTACTGTAGTTTAAGTTTCATCTTCCTCTTTCTCATTTCTCAGTTTGAAAATAATTCCTTAAGATTTGTCTTATTGCTGATTTTACTTCTTGCTCACTTAAGGAAATAATTACCTCAATTTACTTTTAAACTTAGGGCAGATTAGAAAAGCACAAATTAATTTAAATTTTATTTTATTTTTTCCATAAACTTAACTTTATATTATGAGAGATTTGGAAAGTCTTTTTTGGATTCTAATGCCCTTAAAACTCCCATCAGCTTTTAGCCCTATCTCAATAAAATAATTGATATCTTGGTCAGCATCAGACCTCTTCCTCTATGTTGTTTGTAATTAGTAACATTGTACTTTTTAAATTTTTCTTGTCTAATATATTTGTCCTCCAGTTTCTTTCTCTCCACGCATGCCATACTTCTGACCAGAAGTTGAAAGGCTTTTCAAACATTTACCTGGATATTTTGGAACAATAAGACCATCTCCTTCAGGATTCAGGATGTCTTTTTTTTTTTTTTTTAGTTAAAAGCTTGACATAACTTCAGGTTAATTTTTGCTTGATGTCAGGTTAACTGTTTGCTTGCTATTCCTGTTAGAAATGGACTCCTGTAGGGTGAATTACACAAAACAAAAAGTATTTCCTCCCAAACTTGAAAAGAAGAGGGAAATATAGGGGATCAGACTATATTTATTTCCTAATTGTGTTGACTTGAGCAGCTTGAAAATCTTATTTCATTATAAATTCTCACTATCTGTTTAATCAACAAATTTTTACAGATTAAAAATATTTTAGATAATAACTTTTAGCTTCTAGTCTATTTTCCTTTTCTTCTCTGTGATTAAGATTAATCTTAACAACTGACCCTTAAACATGGACAAGGACTTTCTAAACATAAAAGCAAGGAAAAATAATCAAAGAATTAATAAATATGACTAAATAAGTATGTATATATGGGTAGTTCTCCAAATATATATCTGTATATGCAGATTAGCCTTCCACTGGAACCCAACAAACCTGATTAAAAATTGCTTGAATATCTTCTGTTAAGTAATTCTTTTTCTTCCTATTCTAGGAGTCTATGAACTGACTATTTTTGAGATGAAACCTGGTGGGCCAGCTCTGTGGGGTGATGCATTTAAAAGGGCAATCAATGCCCATCTTCATCTAGGCTACACAAAACTAGTGGGTGTTTTTCACACAGAATATGGAGCACTCAACAGAGGTACGTGTCCATTTTTTCTATGAAATTACAATGTATATTAGTGATCTACTAAGTTTCTTGGGTCAATTTGTTTCTCTTTTTCATTATGCTGTCTGTTTTAATTTTTATTGCCAAATGTTTAGTTTTTTGTCTTTTTATTTTAATGCTAATACCTTATGAAGCCTTTTTCAAATGCTGAACTGCTGTTTTCTGTGATACATAAAAATAATCAAATTTAAAAACTGGAAGGATTCTCCAGAAAATATTATTCTTTTAATCTTTTCCCCCCTATATATTTTTATTGATTTTCTAAAAGTAACACTAGGTGGGGTAGAGAGATTTGTTTCTTTTTTTTATTTTCCTTTTTGTCTTTTTTCGTGACCGGCAACGGATCGCAACCCTCAGTGTCGCGCCCGTACAGGACCGGGACCGGCAACGGGATCGCAACCCTCGGTGTTGCTCCCGCACCTCGCTCAGCCAGTGAGCTGCCGGTCTGTATGTGGGATCCGAACCCTCGGCGGGAGCGCCACCGCACTCCCAAGCGGCGCACTGTAACAGTGCGCCACCGGGCCGGCAGAGATTTGTTTCTGAATGAAAATGTAATATATATTTTTTTTACAAAAGGTAAAAACATGGACAAGCCAAAGGAAAAAAAAAATTACCTATTTCCCATTACTTCAAGATAATACTGTTAACATTTTGGTCTTCATATTCGTATGTCATTTATATATGTATATATATATGTCATTATACATACATAAATGATATAGGAATACTAAGACCAAAATTTTGGTAGATATAAACAGGTTAAAAACAATGCATATGCATGGTTGGTAATAACTTCATAACACTCCAGCATGGATATATAGATAGATAGACTGACTTTATTTAATCAAACACGTATTTGGAGCATTTAACTTTTAAATTTGAAAGTAATTGCAGTGAGAATTTCAGAGAGTTTTTTGTGGCAAACTCTAAAAAATGTGTGTAAAATTCATGTGGAAGAATAAATGACTAAAAATAGCTAATAAAATATTTGAAAGACTCATTATATCTTGTTGTCTCCTCAACATCCCTCCTTGAATGTTCAGTGGACATTTTACACCTAACATGTTCAAAGCTGAGTTCTTGATCTTTGCCTAGAAATTCAATTTTTAGTAATATATCAGAAGAAAGTAATCAAATGATACAAGAAAAATATATTTTCAACTTGGAAAATACATGAAGAGGAGAAAAGTTATGAAAATTATTAGATGTCTGTTTCATACCATATGCTAAAATAAAATTTAAATGGATTATAGATTCCATGTAAAAAGTTGAAGTTAAGGGCTGGCCCGATGGTGCACTGGATAGGTGCACCGCTTGGGAAGCGCGGCGGCGCTCCCGCCCAAGGGTTCGGATCCCACATACAGACCGGTTCCCGCTCACTGGCTGAGCGAGGCGCGGGGGCAGCGCCAAGGGTTGTGATCCCGTTGCCGGTCCCTGGTCCGGTGCAGGGGCAACACTGAGGGTTGCGATCCGTACACGGAAAAAGACAAAAAAAGACCAAAAAAAAAAAAAAAAAAAAGTTGAAGTTAAAAAATTATTAAAATGAAACATAGATGAATTTATTTAATAATATAGATGGGTACTATATTTCTAAGCAAAAAAGTAAATGAAAAAATGATGAAGGGAAAAAAAGTTGATGATTTTATTTTACAAAGGCTCAATATTTCTGCATACCCCAGATCATCATAAATGAAATTCAAAAGCAAAAACAAAAATGAAAACTTATGCAAAGTTAGACATACTAATGGCTACTAAATATATTAAAAGAAAAAGCAGATTCAGATTCAAACAATAATGAGGTACCATTTTTCACCTAGCAAAGACATACTTATATAGATATAGTGTTAGAGAAAAATTAAGTACTTGTTTACTGTGTGTGATTCATATTGGCATAATATTTTCTTTTCAAAAATTTGGCAATATAAATGAAAAACTTTAATATTTTTAATTGTTTTTGCCAGTATTACTTCTAGGAAATACAAATATGCATGGATGTTTACGTATGTAGGTATATTTAGTTATATAGGAAAGAAATTTGAAAGAATATAAAATATATAGTAGTAATACTTAAGGCAAAAGATTAAAGTTTTTTAAGTCTCTGTTTTAATTTTCTATGCTGTACATGTACAACTTTTATAAGAAAAAAACTACTGAAAATATGTGTATATACACTTTTTAATCTTAATTCTCAGTGTGCTGGAAGAATAGTAATATGCTCATGTATAAATCAGCACCTCATTTCTGGAGGACATTGTATAATATATATACTGTATCTATGTAAGTATATCTGTATATAAAATATGTTCTTTAGTTCTTTCAGTTTAAATTTTAGAAGTTGCTATTAAGGAAATAGTCATATCTAGACTGCCTGGGTTTAAATCCTAGGTCCACTACTTACTAATTCTGTGGCCTTGGGTTGGGTAAGTTGCTTCACCTCACTGTGCCTTAGTTTCCTCCCCCGTAAAATGATGATGATGATAATCTTCCATGTAGATGATTATGAGGACTAAATGAGTTAATTCACAAAAAATGCTTAAAACCAGGCCTGGCACAAAGTGAGCACCCAATAAGTGTTACTAGTAGTTGTCGTGGACATTGTAATTATTATTGGTATATATGTAGGTGCTGCTGTAATGAAGTTTATGCCCACTTTGTTTACAGTAAGGAAACACTGGAAACAATGTAGTGTGACCCTATTTATGTAATAAATATACTTGTAATATGCAATTAGATAAACACATACATCATATATATCACATGTATTATTAAGCATAAGCATATATGCTATGCGTATACAAATGTGTAAACATATATAAAAATACATACATCTATATAAATATGGAAACAATACACCAAAATAGAAAAGCGGTTATTTTGGTGTGGTAAGATTAGAAATGGTTCTTACTTTCTCCTTTTATCTATCTGAATTTTTTCAAAATCTGTACAGCTAAAATACAGTAAATTTTAATTATAAAATTTCATATAGCCATTTAAAAATTAATGTTGACATAGAAAATTCTCATCTTATTCATTTTTTAAAATCTGTTACTAAGCATAATATACAGTAGATCTAATTTGGTATACTCATTTTTTTTAAAAGGAAATACAACGTATATTAATAGAAATTTATCTAGGTAGTTAAGATTACGCTGATTTTTATTTACTTCTTGATGTGTATCATCTAAATTTTCTACTGTAAACACAATGTTTTATAATCTGCTTTTTAATAATAATAAAACAGTAGGAAGTCATGAAATCTGAATCTAGTCTTATGTATCTTTAGCTGTGTTACTTTACTTCCCCTCTTCAGCCTTCTGTTTCCAGTAAGATTGATTAATTTATAAATTTTTCTCCCATATCTCTGACCATTCTGAAATCTTATTGCTATCATATTTAGTTTTACTTTTTTGATATCACTATTTTGATTTAAAGAATATTTAAATCATAATATTTAATCGTAAATATTTAGACATAAATATTTAAATATTGATTTAAGGAATATTTCTGGTTCATTTTCTGTATTTCTTATTTGTTAATGCCATAATCTTCAGAAACTTTCTCTGGTTTATTCTGCAGTTCATGTTCTTTGGTGGAATGAGAGTGCTGATAGTCGAGCAGCTGGAAGACATCAGTCTCATGAGGATCCCAGAGTTGTGGCGGCTGGTAAGCTGTTTCACTAGGCAAGAATTATTTTTAGAACAAATTTGATTCAGTCAATAACTCTATATGCCTTTTTATGAAATGTTTTTCCAGTTCGGGAAAGTGTCAAGTACCTAGTGTCTCAGCAGAATATGCTTCTGATCCCTGCGTCATTTTCACCATTGAAGTAATTATCTACTGAACTACCATTTCATTAACTGGTGTAAAATGTGTCTGCTAATGATGCTTACATTCTCCCAAGATGTTCTCACTTTTATTTGCAGGAGGTGGTAAGTTAATTTGCTGTGTTTATTGAGTTTTTGAAAGCAGCCTCTGTCTGTATTTTATTCCCACCACTTCAGAACATAGTTTTGTTCATTTATTTATTGTACATTAGAAATCGTCACTACTTCATGATCTTGATTCGTTTTAGAACAACTCTTCTTCTGTATCTGATAACTGTGCTTTATAGCATATTCTTATATTCAAATAATGATTTTACATGTCCTTACCTGACAATATTTCTAAGTTATTTATATACAATATCTTTTTATCATGTCTGTTTTTTCTGAGGTTTAAAAATTTTTGTGCCAAGTAAAGTTTATTTTGTGATATCAAATGAGATTTATAAAAATACCAGATCAAATATATTTCTTTACTCTGGAAAAGTACAGTATCACATGTGTCATCTGTATTAATTATGATTTTCACATCAAATATTTTCACTCTAACTTGGAAAGTAATGTAATTAGGTCATGTCATTAAAAATCTGAAGAAGACTTGTTGGTTTATATGCTGAAATGTATTCATTTGAAATTAATTTTACGAATTTTTACTTCATTTTGGATCACTATTTAACAAAGATCTGAGGACATTTATTTGTTTTAAAGAGATCTTTATGGTTATAGAAATGCTTGCTCTAATAAAAGCCTATATATCCATTCTGATTTTTTAAATTTGCATTTTATATTTATATATCCTTTTCTCTGGAGCCCTTACTTTGTTGCTATAGAGTGATGACACAGTAATAATTTACCAACTCTACTGTAAATGTTAAGTTACATCTGGAAAATAGCATGCTAGTAACTACAGATAGAGGATTTCTTTAGTAGTGCCATAGGTGTTCTGTGGTTTTCCTTGAAAGATCTTTAATTTCCATTTTGCTTGATGCCTCTACCTTTTAAAACTAGGTTTAGTACTACAAGCTCTCTTGATGTTCTATATTTACATCTATATTATTTTACTTGATGTAAATCATGTACCTTTTTCTTCATACTTAGCTCCAAGTGGACTGTGACTTTTTCCAAAACTTTAAGATGACAGAGATTTGCTTTCCAAGGTGGCCTAATATGAAGAGGAAAGTAATTTACACATACAGGTTCATATCATAGCATTCTATTTTTCTCTAGTTCATTTATTCTTCCATTCTCTTAGATGATTTCCAACACCTACTCCCCCATCTTCATTCTTAGCTAATGACCCTTTTTCTTCACTGATAAAATAAAAACAATCAAAAGAGACTGCTCAAGTTCCCACCCCCAAATCTACACACTTTCTGCAACCAAGCTTGTATACCCTCTTTTCTCCTCTTAACTGTGGATCAAGGGTCCATGCTCCAAGCAAAGACAAACCCCTCCACACCCATATTGAAGGATGTGGCTCCAGCAGTTCTTTTTGTCTCCCGAAGCCACAGATTTTCCCCTCTCAGCTGGGTCCTTCTTCTCAGTAAAAATACGCTATTAGTTTTTCCATCTTTAAAAAATATGAAAAATAAAAATATCCCCCCTCCTTTTTTTCACAGCATGGCTCAGAAGAGTAGTCCATACTTCCTGCTTCTCTTTTCTGCCCTCCCATTCTGTCCTAGGCATCCTCTAATAGCCACACCAGCCAAATTGCTCTTATCGAATTCATTTCCCATTCCACATTTTACTTGATCTGTTAGCATTTGACTTCTCCTTTCTTCTGGAAACACTTTCTTCCTTTCTCCAAAACACTTACTACACTTTCTTTGCTCATTAATGTCTCCTAGGGTCCACCCTGTCTCCCTGACCTTCGGTGTTGTAGTATTCTAGCACTGATTCCTTGGATCTCTTCTTTTTTCTATTCATATTCCCTCCCTACCTTGTCTCCCCAGTCTTATGGCTTCAAATACCATCTGTATGCAAATAGCTCTTCCAGTCCACACCTCTTCTCTGAATTCCAGGCTCACCTTATCCAAATGATTTCTCAACAACTCCACCTAAATGTCTATTAGAAATCTCACACCTTACACGTCCAAAGCTGACCTCTTGATCTTTACCCAGCAGCCGTATCTCTGTTAATAGCAACTTTATCTTTCCATTTGCTCAGGCCACAAACCTCAGAGTCATTCTTAATGTCTTCTTTTCTGTCATAACCCATTATGTATCTGTTAGCAAATCCTAAATATCCAGAATTTGATTATTTCATAACCCTATAGACACCATCCTAGTTCAAGCCAATCATCATCTGTATTTGGGGGAAAGGCTCTTAACTTTATCTCCTGCCCTTGCTCCCTCTGCCCCCATCCCAGTCAGTTTTCAACACAGCAGCCAGAATAATCTAAAACATATGCCAGATCATATCATTCCTCTTTCCACCCCAGCCCCACATTTCTATCTCACTCGGAGTAATTATCCAAGCCCTTAACTGTGACCTATAGGTCCTTAAATTGTCTGTCCTCAGTTATCTTTCACCACATCTACTCTTCTCCCTCAGCTCCAGACCTGGACTAAGAGGCTTTTCTTAAACCCACTAAAGGTACTCTTGCCTCAGGGTCTATTCCCCCCTGCCTGGAATGCTCTTCTCTAGATACGCATATGCATAGATTATTTCCACACTTCCTTGAGGTCTTTACCCAAAAGCCCCATGAGGCCTTCCCTGAACACCCTATTAAAATTGCAGTCCCCTTCTACAATGGTCCCTATCTGCTGTGGACTGAATGTTTTTGTCCCCCTGAAATTCATATGCATGTGTTGACGCTTTAATCCTCAATGTGATAGTATTTGTAGGTGAGGCTTTTGGGAGGTTATTAGGTTTAGAAGAGGTTATGAGGGTGGAGCCTCAATGATAGAATTGGTTCCCTTAGAAGGGGATAAAGAGGCCTAAGCTGTCTCTTTCTCTGCACCATGTGAAAAAAACTAGAAAGAGGGCCTTCATCAGAACCCAATCATACTGGCATCCTGATCCAAGACTTCCTAGCCTCTAGTACTATGAGAAATAAATGTTTGTTGTTTAAAGCCACCCTGAACTGACTAAAACACTATCCCTCTGCACTGTTTTGTGTTTCCCTATGTCACTTATCACCATAATTAATATTTTATTTAAATATAATTTATTTTTTGGGGGAAAATAGAATAGTTTTGTCAGGCTCCCTCGCCTCTGGGCAGGTTGGGTGTGGTGCAGCATTCTTTATGGGCAGGTTGTGTGTGGGTGGAGTTAGTGCACCTGCGCAGCACCACCACCTTGGCTGACTACTGCCTCGGGCGGCCGCCATTCCACACAGCTATGCTTTCCAGCCTGCAGCTTCCGAGGACCTGTTTGCCGGTTACCTAGCTCATAGACCTGTGTGTGATGGGTTTGGTGACCCAACCTGGCATGTGAAGGGTTTGTGATCCAGTCTGGACAATGGGCTTGAGGGGTCTGTGAGCTCCAGACCCAGCCCTAGCTTCACAATTGGCCCAGTTGATGCAGGATTACTGGCAGGTAAAAATAGCGTGACAATTTTATATCCCCTCCCATTAGAAACCAAATTCCATGACAGCAGAGTTATTTTTTTTAATCATTGTAATATCACCAGTGCCTAGCATATTGTAAGCCCTGACTATTTGTTGAATGAATTAACATATGAGATCTTTTGTGGTTTGTTTTTTTTTTAAGTCCATCATTCCTCCACACGTTATATTGCACCTCTATTAATAGTAGGATATGTGACTCTTATTGGAGGTGTCTTTTCAACCTGTTGGAAAGTGTCCCTGGAAGACACAGTGAATGACTCAGTAGAAGTTCTGGCTGTGGGTGCCATCAATAAATAAAAGTAATACTATTGCCTGTTGGTTATAAGTTACTATTACAGACTGTGAAGATTTTTGAATTGTATGTCCAGGAAAAGAATCAGATATGCCACTAATCTGGTCTTGTTCCACCCCCTGCCACATAACTCCCAAAAGATAAGCAAACCATACTTGTAGACTCAAACCTGTACTTCATTCTCAGCATCAGCTCTTAACCTACTGAACAAACCCTAGGAACATGACCATTGTGGTAACTGAAGTCATCAAAGTAGTGTTAATCTGAAGTATATTGGGAGAAGTGTTACTCTCATTAGAGAGACCTCTTTCATAACTTTAGAATGCCCTCTCTCTAAGCATCTTCTTGAAAAAGCACATTCCCCCTAGGAGGAGAAAATGGTTTTCTTTAGTGGAAGCAACTTGGCTCAGGACCATTAGGTAAAGGAAGTTTGGGCATTTGACAGAATGAGCTTTTTGACAGTTGATGAGGAGAAATGCACAGTTTTGTATCATAGGCTTCTGCACTGAAAGGACAACTGAGTGGTAATGTTGAATGAGCCAGAGTGTGTTTAAGGCTACTGACAGAGGAAATGCCGAAAGAATTAAAAACGGAACAAAAAAAATCAGAAAGGAAAGATGAGATGATGCCCAGATACAGTCTGTACTAACAGCAGACAAGAAAAACATCCAAATTAAAGTTTTCTAAGCCAGAGATTGTCCTGTTTCCTGCTTCTCTTTAAAGCAAAACTCTCCTCAGTTAGGTCTGCATCCTCATCCCTCTGCTGAAATGACTCTTCCGGTCACCAAGGATCTCTGTCTTATCAAATTCAATGGTCATTCTCTGCCTTTAGCTTACTCATCTTCCTAGCAGTGTTGGACATAATGGACCACTTCTACCTTCCTGAAACACTTAATTCTCTGTGCTTCAGTGTATGGCATTATCCTCTTCAGGTTTTCCTCCACACTGGCCAGTTGCACTTGCTGGCTTCTCTTCTAAATGTCTCAGGATCTCAAGTTCAAGAATGTTCTCTATCTTCACTCTCTAGGTATGCTCATTCAGTCTCAAGGCTTAATTACCATATGTTTACTGATGACTTGCACATTTTTATCTTCTCTTCTATCATTGCCTCTGAGCTCCAGACTGAAATACCAACTGCATTTTTAAGACAAACATCTACTTAGTTCAGGTCACAAACTAGAAGTCATTTTGATAGCTCTCTTTCCCTCATCCCCTAAATGCAGCCTGTCAGCAGATTGATCATCTCTTAGCCTCTCTACTGCCCTTTCTCCCCATAGTAGCCAGCATTCTTTGTGAAACAGAGATTAGATCACACCACTACCCTGTTTAAAACTCTCCTCAATGCACTAACAATAAAATCCAAAAACTTTCACAACACTGGCAAGTCCCTATGAGATTTGGTCCCTGCCATCTCTCTGATTCTATCCCCTACCACTCTTTCCTTACTAACTGCACATCAGGGACATTGGAATTCTCTTTTATTCCCCTTAACATGCCAAGCTTTTTCCCACTTGGGGCTTTTGCACAAGGTGTTCTTTCTTCCAGGAATATTCTTCCCACCCACTTGCTAATATTTCTCCTGCTCGTTTTATTCAGATCTGAGTCTAAATGTCACTTCTTAGGCTGAATCTGACTCCTCTCCATTGTTATCCCATTACCATGTTTTATTTTCTTCCTAGTTCTTATTACTGCCTAAATGTATTAGATTTGTTTGTCCACAATAGTGGCCACTGTCTTTCTCCACTGAAATATAAATTCATTAGAGCAGGAATTCTCTTTTCTTCAACTTGTATTCCAAGAACCTAAAAAAGTATCTGGCACACAATAAAGTTCAATAAATATACATTAACGTATAATGATGGCAAAGTGATTTGGGAAAGACAATGTTAACTGATACCTACCTTCAACAAAAAGAACCCTCTGCCACCTAACTAGCCCTGCAGCATTGAACAATTTCCTTATCCTCTGAGCTACAATATACTCATGTAAAATGGTACTATTTACCTCGTAGGGCAGGTATTAATGGAAGACTAAATGAAGTGCCTGCCTATGCAGTAAATACTTGAAAATGGGAGCTAGTTTTCTCTTACACTTTTTCATACTTAATGCATGTATCGGCATTCCAAAGGCCCAGAGATTTTTGAACATGGAAAAGTTCAAATAGGCTTTTCTCTAGATAGAAAACTGATTTGGTCAAGACTCATGGATCAAGTTATATTTTTATCTAAATTAACTACCTTTTCATTTTTCAATGTTTTTTTTCCTCTCCCTTGTCATTTTTCACAAAGAAACATAGTTTTGTATCCATTTTATTAAAGTCACTATAATGTTACTTCAATAGAGGAGAATGAAGTTGTGATGCTGATGCTGAGTAAGCATCTAGGCTCGCCGGAAGCCTAGGTCTTTTGCACACAAAGGTCAGATCCATGCCACAGAATCACATCATCCCTGCCATTCTGAAGAGGTCACATATACAGCCAGACTCTTGTACTGCCTAAAAAGGACTGTTTCACAGGGCTTCTTCAAGTACCAAGATAAAAAAAGTCTTTTTCATAGCTCAGGAAGAATCGTCTCAGAATATGGAAAATACATCCATATTTTCTCATCATAACACTACTTGTGTGTAGACTGCACAGCACTTCTTATTACAGGAGAAAAAGAAGGCACCTCTGATATTAGCCTCAGTATCAATTCTCTTCCCACATTTTCTACTCTTCCTGCATACTTGCCCCTGCCACCACATCCAGCACCTCGCCAGTATACTTGCCACATTGTGTCCTTGTATTTTTTGTTGAATAAACAAAAGAGCACTGAAGATTGCCTTTTTAGCCTCCTCAATACCAAGTGAAGTTTTTGTTAAATAAACTTAGCTGCAGAGTATTTTCAGAGATCTCTGCATCTTTGTAATCATTAAGCAGAATAAGCTTATCTAAAAACCTCTCAAACATAATACCAGATACTGAGTATCTTAACTGAATTACCAAAGTGCAAAACACCCTTTCTTGTATTTTCAAGTAATTCCCTCAGTTCTCTTTTATGATTAACAGGACATTTGAACTTTGCTAAAATTTTTACTTTGGTTCCAAATAGCTTCCCCTCTAGAGACATTTCTTGCTTATGTAATGGTTGTGCTATGGATGGATGAAAGGAAATTCGTACAGACCAGAACTGTCACAGTTTTATTTTGTGACTCATTACAACATAGAAATATGCCTTTTTAATACTTCATATAAAGTTATTGACAATACAAAATTTTTTTTTCCTTTTAATGAAAACGATTTAACTTAGAAATTTATTGTGAAACTTTTGTCTAGTTTTGCAATTCTCAGATATTCCAGTGCAAAAATAGATCCCATTACAGAAAGCATAAAGTGCTTGGAATGAGGGCCAATGATAAAAAGCACAAAAACAGTTTCATCCTAGGGTATAAGAAGGGATAATAGCATACTTAATCCTTATGGAAATATAAGCATTCTATAAAAAGGGGTGCAACAATTTTGAAAAGAATTAGAGCAATATTACCATAGTATTACATTTTTACTGGTAAATAGTAACAGGAGTACAAACTAGTATCTCAATATCAAAGTGGTTCAGTATTACATGACACATGGCTCTTTGGAAAAAAATTTTACCTGATATATACAACCACGAGAAAAAACAAATCAACAAATCCCTTTAGTCAATGATTACTATACAGTGAATGAATCCCTTTAGTCAATGATTACTATACAGTGAATGAATGATGTGCAACATTTAATAGTCACAAAGCATATGCTTTCAGTACAGACACTGAAATACAGTAGTTTGAGGTTTGGTTTGTTTTATAACAATGAATTATGCTGGACATTTATGTGTAGAGGGTTGGTTATTTTCTTTTGTATTGTTCATAGTCACAGTTAATTAATAAGTTTTACAAAGTGTCCAAAAGATGCAAAAGCAGAAATTTTTGAGCACTTCTTTTAAGAAATTCTGAAACTCACATTGTTACATTTCCACAGGGAATATGTAGAAATTTTACTTGACTGAGCATAGAGTTGGTAAAAATTTCTACCACAGTTAGGTTTACACAGGGAAATTTAAAAGATTACTATTTGGATAGTCTGAAAGGTAACACAGTATTAATGAAGTCAGTGTGTAACTGTAGATTGTTTCTAGCTTCAGAGGAGACCCTTTAAATCTATATTGAAACGTAATTTTTTCAAAATAGTTCACAGTGCGCCTTTTGATTTTTTAAAATACGGCCTTAGATCAGAGTAACTAAAGCAAGGAGTTGCTCATGGACTTAATATAATGAAGAATTAGAACATGATTATAGTGAAATGAGAAAGCCAACAGAAATTTGATTTTGAGAAATACTAGGGAGAAACTAAATTATCCCATGAGTTTTATATCTTTGAATGTAACGGAAAATATAATGATGTCATGCCGATAGTTACTGGAAATATGCCTTCATTATCATTTTAGAAGACGATGTTGACATTAATTTCTAAAAGTCATTTTTTACAATAAGCTATATAACAACATTCTGTAAATTTAAAAAATATATAGATTAATTTGAAATCAATCTGAAATCTTAAACCTTTGGAGTTAAGAAATTAGTAATCATATTGAAAGATCACTTGAACTTCACCAAACAGCAGTTCTCTTATATTTTTATTTTGTCTCAAGAGAGATGAAATCAAGTATTAGTGAAATATTTTTAAAAAGTGTTTTCTGACTAAAAAATATAAATCTATGTTAAAAAGTCTGAAAAATAATCCATGTGGGGGCATTTGCTGTTTTTATCTTTTCACGGTAGGTTAGTGACTGAAAACATTGAGATTGTCAGAGATTTAATGGGGTGTCTAGCATCTGCAAAGCCAGTTATTTGAAGGTGTTAAATGCCATAAGCACAAGTGGTATTGTGCAACAAGTTTCCAAGCTAGCTGTTTTCTCTGTGAAAGAATTCATTGTTTGACCTTGTGACCTTTATACTTTCTTGGCTTTTGCATTGTTGCTATTTGGGAAAAAAAAAAAAAAGAAGGCTGCCCAATATTCTTTTAGTGGGCTCTCAAAACCTCAGCAAAACAAACTATGTTTGTAAACCAGTTAGCTGAATAACATGGCACAGGAAATCTTCTGAGACTTAATTTCTCCCCATATCTATCCATACACACATTCTCATTCAGCTATGGCATACACTCAAAGTACTTGATGAACTGAGATTAAGAGTATTCTAAATAATAAAGAAACTCAAATATAACGTCATGAGATCTTGACTACCACATTATTATCTAGTCAGTAGGCACTAGTCAGATGAGCGATCTACAAACTTACATAAGAAAATAAAGCTAGTAAGGCAGTGTGGCCATACTCTCTATGCCACACGGTTCTACAAAGAGGCCATTCTAAGGTTTCAGAAGTCACTGACAGAATTTAAGATTACAAATAACATTAAAAGTACAAAGATTTTTGTCGAAATACAACTCCATCTTTTCATTTTCTAGATTAATTCAAAAAGCCAGAAATAATACTACACTTATGTCAAATAAGAAAGATCTTGAGATGTGGTGTACCGTGTTAGACAATCAGGACAAATGGGCACAGGCCTCCCTAAGTTTGCACATGCTGTCTCTTTAATCCCATGCTCTGGCCTCAGCAGCTTGCAGCCCCAACAGTTTGGCTGCTGAGTCTTTGCTTCTCACCAGGATCTAAATATATTTAAAGAGTCCCAGAAAGATGACCCTGGAGATCCATGGCTCCAAGCACAAGACAACGCAACAATGGAAC